ATAAATGCTTCTTGATTTAAGAATGTTTAGATATTTGGACTGGAACAATACAAAAATACTAAAAAATACTAAGTAAGAAAATGATAATTTTTTTGCAGTGTGTTCAAAAATCAGAAATGTTATATCTTTTGGTATAACAATTTATATATAACATTATATAGCCTTGTTTCTGGTTGGGGGGCACTGACATAAATGAACACATCACATTTTCTCATCTGGCGACAATAGCAACCATTAATGTGAGCATGAAAGTTCCTACCCATCCACTGACTCTTCTTCGCGGGAACTGTCCAGAACATTTCTTGGTGTGGCGCTGGGCTTGTCCCCTAAAATGATATCCATTTGGTGGTAGAACGGGAATGTAATTCGCCCATTACCACTTTTATTATTGTGGTCTTTCACCTCCTTGTATTTAGATTTAAAGGGATAGTTCACCCAAAAATGAAAATTAAGTCATTAATTACTCACCCTCATGTTGTTCCAACCCCGTAAGACCATCGTTCATCTTCGGAACACAAATGAAGATATTTTTTATTAAATTTGAGAGCTGGATCACTCCTCCATAGGCTTCTTAAGGGATAGAAACTTGACACCCCAGAAAGTCATTGAAGAAAATAGTTATTCCATTAAATAGTCCAAGTGACTACAGTGGCTCAACTATAAGTTTATCAAGCGACGAGAATACTTTTTGTGCGGAAAAACAAACAAAAATAACGACTTTATTCGACTATTCCTTTTCTTCCTTGTGGGCCTGAGACGAGAGTTCAAGAGATTTCCATGCGCGAGAACTGAACAAGAAGTAGTAGAAGAAGAACGTCCTCTTCTCAGTTCTCGCGCATGCGTCGTGGAAATCTCTTGAACTCTCGTCTCAGGCCCACAAGGAAGAAAAGGAATAGTCGAATAAAGTCGTTATTTTTGTTTGTTTTTCCGCACAAAAAGTATTCTCGTCGCTTGATAAACTTATTGTTGAGCCACTGTAGTCACATGGAATATTTAAACATTTTCTTCAATGACTTTCTGGGCCGTAAAGTTTCAATCCCTTATGAAGCCTATGTAGCAGTGATCCAGCTCTCAAATTTAATCAAAAATATCTTCATTTGTGTTCCGAAGATGAACAAAGGTCTTACGGGGTTGGTACAGCATGGGGGTGAGTAATTAATTACTTAATTTTCATTTTTGGGTGAACTATCCCTTTAAGGGACTTCTTTTTTTTGCTGACACTGGAGCCAGGAACGTCTGTAGCCCTGCTCCGCCATTGCAGCCGAAATATCCTCAAAAACAGATTTGTTTCTGTATGAACTATTGCCACTGAAACTGCTTTAACGCACCAGTGGGGCTCGACAGCCTTAGTCGGTTAAACGGGTTGGCGCGTATGGTTGGGTTGCGGAGAGATTGTGAGATTGTGGTTAGGTCTCAGCAGCAGGAGGGATGTAGAGGTCAGTAAGCTGGGCTGAGTTGAGTGGGGGACGGAGGGGGGGGACTCTGGGGCTTGTCGACGAAACACTGACTACGTTTACATGCAGCCAATAACCCGTTCAAAACCGGGATATTAGCAATAACCCGGTCGCGAACGGCCATGTAAACACCGGCAAAAACCCGAATATGCTCATATCCCGGATTTTAAAAACCGGGATATTATACCTGGGGTACCCCTTTTCTAACCCGAATTTTTGGTCATGTAAACGCGCATCGGCATATCCCCATAGTGATGTGTGTTCTGCGCATGTTCTATTCGCAAGGAATCTTGGTCTTTTGAGTAGAGAAACTTCTCGGCGCATACAAAAACCCGCGTGCAGTATACCGGAAGTAAACATGGCGAGACGCAGCACAGCATACTTTTGGAGCGAGGTCAGTAACGTTACCAGCAGCAAAGCGCAAACAAAGGCGATCGCTATCTGCCCCGAACTATTCATTATCCGCGTGCTGCTGTTGTTGTTGTCTTTGGATACAGGAAGAAGAATCGGAAATGACGCATATTGCGGCTTAAGGTTGTCCGTACGTCCAGACGCTAACCGCGCGTCGCGTTTACATCGGGATATTGCAATTCCATGTATACAGGAGTAACTCTCTCTGCTCACGCATGTAAACGGGTTATCCCTAATGTTTCAGAAACCCGAATAGTGACCTTAACCCGACCATAACCCGAAATTTGGCTGCATGTAAACGTAGTCACTGAGGACGGAAGGTGCCCACTTGAAGACCCTAGAGATGTCCCCTACTCGGCTCAATCCAGACGGTTGTCGTGCTGGTCCTGTAGTTGCAGCCGTCGCGTGTGCTGACGCGCCAAGTACACTAGCCGTTAATGCCGGACAGAAGGGGAGTCACACCACCATATGGAAAGAAGCGTAAATGGATGGAGAAGCATAGTTTACTGTTAAGCTACGTCTTAGTTTTGCTTATCTTGGCGAAAGCCGAATACAAATCAGCATGAAGTTTTAACATCTACTCTCGTGTAATGGAAATCATGAGCCTTTAATTTTATCTTGAACTGACTCCTCTCCCCACAGGGTGAGAAGGCAGGTAACTTCAGCCGTCGACCACTGCCCTGCATTTTCCTCCTCCAAGTTACCTTCGTTGTTGTCATTTACCGCCTCCACACACGTGAGAATAATACGTCATCAAAACTGCGTAGAAGAACCAAATTGTCGCAGTTTTAATTACGTACAGAGCGCAATGCTTCAGAAAATCCGATCTGCCTGTTTACATGACAGTCGCATTGGCACATATCGGATTTATTTCCACATATGAATGAGGCCTGAAACCGATCTCGAAATATCCGAATGCATGCGTTTTTTTCCTGTTTACACGGTCATAGAACATATCCAATCTGTGTCGCATATGAGTAAAAAATCAGAATTGGGTCACATTTCACTGACAGTGTAAACAAGGCCTAATATTCTGTGATGGTTTCTGAGCAGTGCAGGCCCTTCCCTCACTGTGCTGTTAACCACAGAAAGAGTAATCACAAAAAACATTCAACAAGAGGGTCAACAAAAAGCCCTGTTATTGTTCTTGCTACCATTAAAAGTAAAGAGGATTACAGAGACATACAGGAGTTGCACACCAGGTGAGCATGGGTCAATTTTAACTGATGCATATTATTAGCTCTAACATGGTATTGTTCAAAAACACATTTCCTTATATTGTCATAGAAAAGGTCAGTCTTTGCCTCCAAAGACTCTTCTTGAGTCAGGAGTTCCAGGTGCCTAAATATTAGACGATTTTATCAGGCAACAAAGTCGATAAGCCAGCTGATCATCTGAAAATCTTGCTCAAACTCTCATTTTTATACAGTCTCTTACAATTGGTTTACAACTTGTCTAACCAATAAGCATTTTTTGGGGTTATCATAATTTTTTTAAATCATCAAAAGAACATATTAAAAACTCTTTAATACATGGTTTTCAATGGCATTGCATCATCACTTGTGATATGTATCTTCTTATTAAGATGTTGATTACTTAACATGTGGTCTATCATTGTGTCATCTGGTGATTGGTATGGACTGGTTGTTAACTGAGCTGCGAAACACAGTGTAATCTGAGACCTTCTGGGTTTTTTCATTAATATAGTACCCAGACTGTGAAGTTAAACATTTCTTATATGCTTATGAAAATACATTTGACAAAATATACAGCAAAGTTGTCAAAATTCATGTCTGTCAAGAGTTTTATAATGCTTTATATGCTTGAAGAAGTGCATATTGGAGAAGTCTGTGAGGATCCGCAGTAGCTACGTTTACATGGCCACCTTTTGTTTCAATCAGAATGAATTCCATATTTATCTATTTAGGATCCTATTAAGGAGATGGAAACAACAAGCACATGTAGGTGTGTGTCATGCTGTTAAAATCATCCAAAAAATCAAGCAGAAAAAACACCCAGTCCTGCACCCAAAACAAGGCGTCTGTGAATGAAAGTCCAAAAACAAGGACTAGTGGGATGTTGACCTGCTCCACATAATTAATGGAAGGGAATTTTAGAATGACAGACACTTGTTCCTTGCGTCATACATCATTACGCCATTTCTACGTCATTGCACATGGGCAGTACTTTCCAGTTTCAGTTTTCAATCAATCAAGTGTTTGCATGTCCTCTCAATCTGATTAGAAAAGATTTAAACCACCCTTTTACAATCTGAATAAATTTTTTATTGAATTTGGCCAATCCATTCTGATTGGCGTGGTTACATATGACTTTATTACTCTGACTTTGCTTGTAGTCCGATTACAATCATTAGGTTCCATGTTAATGAAGCTAGTGAAATGTTGTTACGGTTTATGAATTAGCATAAGCATAGCATAGTCTACTGACTAGCCAATAATAAATTTCAATTGTGTATTGTTCAACGCGACATGGTGCTAAAACTTAAAACTACTTGCCTCAAGCTCCATTTGCAAAATTGGCATGCCAAGTTGGCCTCTTTACCCTAGCCATTACTATGTCCATATTTTCCTTTTTTACTTCCTGTACTTATTTTTTCAGCACACATAAAAAGCACAATTGACAAAATGCAATTCATCTTGCTTTATTTGTTTAGCACTAACTTGCGTTGTAGCCTACTATTCAATAGGTGTCTACATACATGTCATACCCAAGTTTATTAGATCCATGTACAGTGTGATTTGTAATGATCTTATAGGATTGCTGAAATCGAACAGTCTGTAGCAGGCATAAATCAATTACCACAGGCCATTCATTATTGGAGTCAGGTGGCAATTACTCTGAGAGGATGGAGAGAGAGAGCACAGCTTGGGCGACACAAAAAAACATTTATGGCTCTGGGTGTAACAATGTGTTTCCTGCCGGTAACTCCTTCCACACTGTTACAGGTTACATCTAAAGCAGTTACATCTAAAAGTTCTCTCAAGTGATTATCAAGGGTTACTTTACATCTGAAACTCTTTCCAGACTGATCACATGAGAATGGCTTCACTCCATTGTGAATTCTCATGACTTAAGACTTTCTTTTTCGTGAGAAAATCTCTCCAACAAAGTTTACAGGTATAAGGGCTTTCTCAAAAGTGAGTTCTTATGTGGCGATTAAGGGTTCTTTTAAGCGTAAAACTCTTTCCACATTGAGGGCAGGTGTACGGCTTCTCTCCAGTGTGAACTCTCATGTGAGTCTTAAGACTTTCTTTTCGTGAGAAGCTTTTCCCACACAGTTTGCAGGTGTAAGGGCTTTCTCTAGTGTGAGTTCTCACGTGGGCATTAAGGCTTCCTTTATGCGTAAAACTCTTTCCACACTGATCACATGTGTAAGGCTTCTCTCCAGTGTGAATTCTCATGTGAGTCTTAAGACCTTCTTTTCGCGAGAAGCTCTTCCCACACAGTTTGCAGGTGTAAGGGCTTTCTCCGGTATGACTTCTCACATGTGTATTAAGGGTTCCTTTATGTGTAAAACTAGTTCCACACTGACCACATGTGTAAGGCTTCTCTCCAGTGTGAATCCTCATGTGAGTCTCAAAACCTATATTTCTTGAGAAGCTTTTCCCACACAGTTTGCAGGTGTGAGGGTTTTCTCCAGTATGACTTCTCATATGGGTATTAAAGGTTCCTTTATGTGTAAAACTCTTTCCACACTGTTGGCAGCTGAAAGGCTTCTCTCCAGTGTGAACTCTCTTATGGACATTAAGGTTTCCTTTATGGTTGAAAGTTTTTCCACACTGTTGACAGGAGAAATAACTTCTAATTCCTTTCCTTTGAGCATTTTTTTGTGAGGAAGTGTGTTCAGTCTGTGAGCAACTATAAAAATAATTATGTTTCTCATACTGATATTTATCTTCCATTCCATTATGTTCTTTACTCTCTTCTTTTAGTGCCATCAGGTCTAGAGAAAATAAAAATACAAGTTAACCCAGGTTTAATAGCACAAAGCAACATACATCAAAACATGAACAGATTTAAAACATCAAGACGAACCTTAAGCATCAAATCTAACATGTACGCTAGAACTGTGTCTGCTCTAGATGCATTTATTCATGAAGTCCACTGGAAAATGCATTATTGCTGTGGAAATTTCAAAATAATTTGTCTATAAATGAGAAAATGAAACAACATTAGAGCACAGTGCAAAATAGTCCTTTAGTTTTCTCTATTGAAGAAGTATGCTGAATTATCTAGGAACGTCCTGTATTTGGAAGAAATTACCTGGGGTCCCCCCACTAACACAGTGTCCTCTCCTGGTTTACTGTTAGGGTATCTCAAATTGTACTCTCTTAACAAAATTGTACTCTCTTAACAAATTGATGATCATGTTTTTGAGCAATGAAAAAAAGTGCAATGTTTAATTTAATTTTTTCATTTAAAAAAACAAAAACATTTTAAAATCAGAAATCTGGAAGTAATTAACTTTTCCCCCACAATTGACAAGATTTTGCGTCATTTATGATACAACACTTCCCCGTATTTTCTGGTAATCCATGTTTTTTTTACTGTTATACAGTAGGGAGGCGCTATTACACATCTTCTGAAATAGAACAGAATCTCCAGATCCAAAAACACGAGAAGAAGCAGAATTGCTAGAAGATTGCTTACATACATGTAAGATAATGTGATCATCAAACATTCAACAGAATATAAAACAAAACTGCCTAACGTTACTGCCTGCCTGACAGACATTTTTTGCTGGATGAAGGACCAACACCTTCAACTAAACCTCGCGAAGACAAAACTGCTTGTGTTCCCGGCCAAACCAACACTACAACACAACTTCTCCATTCAGCCATGTTCGTCATCCATAACTCCAGGTCAGCCAGGAACTTTGGAGTTGTGATTGATGATCAATTGAACTTCACAGACCACATCGCTACACCTGTCCGATCCTGCAGATTTGCCTTGTACAACATTAGGAGGATCAGGACCTTCCTAACAGAGCATGCTACACAACTCCTTGTCCAAGCGCTTGTTCTATGCAGACTGGACTATTGTAATGCTCTCCTGGCTGGTCTTCCAGCTTGCACTGTCAAACCTGCTGCAGCCAGAGTGGTCTTTAACGAGCAGAAGAGAGCACACGTTACTCCTCTCCTCACAAAAATGCACTGGTTGCCAGTTGCCGCTCGCATCAAATTCAAGGCAAGTTAAGTTTATTTATATAGCACATTTCATACACAATGGTAATTAAAAGTGCTTTACATAGAAGAAATTAAAATAATCAAAACAAATAAGAATAATTAAAATAGTTTAGAATAAAAAATAAAGTACAGTAAAAACAGTCGGACGAACAGTGGCACAGTGCTCATTCAGTAAATGCATAGCTAAACAGATGTGTTTTGAGTCTGGATTTGAAAGTGACTACTGTAGGAGCACATCTGATCTCTTCTGGAAGCTGGTTCCAGCTGCGGCTGGCATAATAACTAAAAGCAGACTCTCCATGCTTAGAGCGAACCCTTGGTATTTCTAGCTGATATGATCCTAATGATCTGAGTGATCTGTTAGGTTTATATTCAGTGAGCATATCTGCAATATATTGAGGTCCTAGCCCATTAAATGATTTATATACCAGTAATAATACTTTGAAGTCAATCCTAAATGTAACTGGGAGCCAGTGTAGAGACCTGAGGACTGGTGTGATGTGTTCATATTTTCTGGTTCTGGTCAGAATCCTGGCAGCAGCGTTCTGTATGAGCTGCAACTGTCTTATGGTCTTTTTAGGAAGGCCAGTGAGGAGTCCATTACAATAATCCACCCTGCTGGTGATAAAAGCATGCACAAGTTTCTCTAAGTCTTGACTGGAAACAAAGCATCTAATTCTTGCAATATTTTTCAAATGATAGTATGCTGATTTAGTTATTGCTTTGACATGACTACTGAAACTAAGTTCTGACTCTAGAGACACACCAAGATTCCTGACTTGATTTTTAGTTGTTAGACCTCTAGCGTCAAGGTTTGCATTCACCTTGAGAACTTCATCTTTGTTTCCAAATGCAATGACTTCAGTTTTGTCTTTGTTTAACTGAAGAAAGTTTTGGCACATCCAACCGTTGACTTCATCAATGCATTGGCACAGGGAGTCAATGGGGCTGTAGTCGTTAGGCGATAGGGCTAAATAGAGCTGTGTGTCGTCTGCATAGCTGTGGTAAGAGATTCGGTTCTTTCTCATTATTCGGCTCATTGGGAGCATATACAGGTTGAACAGGAGTGGTGCAAGAATTGAGCCTTGAGGGACTCCGCATGTCATGGATGTCCACTCAGACTTATGGTCTCCTATACTTACATAATAACCTCTCCTTCTAAGTATGACCTGAACCATTTTAGGACTATCCCAGAAGGCACTAATGCTTGCCTACAGAACAACCACTGGCACTGCTTCCTTTTACCTAAACTCATTACTTCAGACTTACGTTCCATCCAGAACTTGTGTTCATATTATAAATGTTCATATTAAACACGTTAGTAAGTAAAATTCTAGCTTCCGGCCATACGCAGTCTACTTGCGTCTAAAGCGCAACTTATGACGTCAGAAGTAGCGTAGTGCGTCATGGGGTAGTGTAAATATCAGCAGTATGTCGCATTACTTGCATAAGTTGCACTTTAGTCGAATCCGTATGTTTGTTTGGCCGGAAGCTATTTATTTTACTTTGTGTAAGAAAAATATTCATATTGAAAACTTTGTAAACTCATCGCTTTGCTTCAGAAGACCTTTATTAACCCCCTGGAGGCGTCAAACTGATGGTTGCAATCCACTGCCATTATAAAGCTCGGAAGAGTAAGGGTGTATATTAATATAACTCCGATTGTATTCGTCTGAAAGAAAAAATTCATATACACCTAGGATGGCTTGAGGGTGAGTAAATCATGGGGTAATTTTCATTTTAAACTGAACTACTCCTTTAATACACGCGTTACAACTAGTTCACAATTGCAACATGAACAAGAGGCAACACGGACTGGCAAGTAGTAAACTAAATTTATTCAACGAAATATCAATTAAAGGCATTTAAACAATCAGTAAACCAGTATTAGTGGAAGTCAGTAGTGAAAACATTCTTGAAAGAGGACTGTACTCTCAAGGTCAGAATGGATGCAATCGAATAAATATATCAAACGAAAAACAGTAGAAATTAACCGCTCAGTCAAGGGCAGTCACATAAGAATTTGAATTTGTCCGTTCAAGATGTGAAAGAAAACTCAATTCAGTACTCATGCACTGTCTGAGAGGCGGCTTTCTGGACGCGTGCTTCGGATGTGTGCACACCAAAAACTTCTCACACAGTCCGCAGAGCTGCCAACTCTCACGCATTGGCCGTGAGACACACGCATTTGATTGGTTTCACACGTTCACACGGCACACCCCCGATTTCTCACACTGAAGCGTCAACCTGGTCGGTCAAATGCCTGGAAGATGAGTTTATCTATATATCTACCTGTTGAGCCACTCGTGATCGACTATTTATGCCGCAAATTAGTTAAAATCTCCCGGAATCTAGAGCGAGCGCGCACGCGAGATAGAGTTTGCGCTCCAAACTTTTTTTGGGTTTTTTTTTTTTAGATTGCGCACGCACACGTCAGAGAGGGAAAGCGATCGAGAGACCCAAAACATCACGACCTATCAACACCCCCCCTCCCCCCCACCCCGTAGGAGAAGTCTCACTCCAGGCTAAACTAAAAAATTGGCAGCTATGAGTCCGTGAGAACCGCATTAAGTTCTTTTTCTCGTATTCTTGTGCTTAAATATTCAAATTTAATTATTTAATAAATAATAATAATCAATAGATTGATTGATCATCAAAATAATCGTTAGTAAGAGCCCTATTACAATGTACAACTTAGAACACACAATACAAAGTTAGGGCTACAGTGGCTCGGCTTGCTTAGTTGGGGTCATTAAATGTAACATTTAATTTAATATTCAACAATAATATTGATCTGCCTGCATTGACACCAGAGTATGTGAGCGGAGTGGAGTGGGAGCGGAGGGAGGAGTGGAGCGGTGTGATTTTGAATGGAGTGCGGATCGGATTTTTTAAAAGTCGGAGCGTCGTGGTTTTCACTCGCTCCGAGAGCGCTCCACTACCGCTCCATCACGAGTACAATTCATGCCAACGGCTCATTATAGAACTGCATTTTTAGTAAGGATTCACACGTTAAACACATTACGCTAGCATGATACAGATGGATCACTCAAATCAGAAATTTTTTTGAAGGTTATGATGACGCCGATGGACATGAGTGGCTGCGGGAGGTTATAGTCATCAAGCCTACTGAATATGATCGGGCAACACGATCTCATGAAAGTGCGTATCTATAGCACGAATTTTATTTCTCGTGCCATTTATAAGCCAAAAAATAGTTTTTGCGTGCAAATGAAACTAAACCCCTTGGTTAGGATAATGACTGTGAAGTGCGTTCTTGCCATAAAGTGCGTATCGTATGATCGCACGAAAACTGCTTATCATAGGCTATGCAAGCAAAAACTATTTTTGGCGTATAAATGGTACGAGAAATTAAATTTGTGCTATAGATACGCACTTTCATGAGATCAGGCTGGATCGGGTGAAAGCACATTTTAAACAGGTAACACTTATTCACACGCAATCGCTTTCTCACTAATGCATTGCATTCAAACAAATGTAATCTTACCGTAGGCTACTGTCGGTATTTGGTTTCGAATGAGCAGAAATCTGTAAGAAATGTAGCGACCTGTAGATAAAATAACTGATGAAAACGTAGTTATTTTCTTCTTTCCAAACAAAATGTGCTCTTCAAAAAGCAGCAATGATATTTAACTTATAATGCTGATAACCTGTAATAAGCATAGCATGTCATAGGAAAAGTTTGCACACTATCCAATAAACCACATTGCAACTATTCTCCTAATGTTTTTTTATT